TAGTGATACTGCCTCGGAAACCCAAGGAGGGGTCGCTATGAGTCGGGGCCGACTCGACGGCAAACAACAACAACAACAACATCTAAATTATCATCCAACCCATAAAGCTTTGATAAAATACCAGTATTTTTTATGAAAATAGTAAGGATAACATAGGTTTTTATGTCTCCCTAGTCAGTGGCCTTATATATATTTTAAGTCTGTCAAAAACTAGAGCCCAAAGTCATCTGCAACATGAAAAAAAAAAAAAAAAGGTCATTCAACTCAATATTTACAAGGATCTCAAAACCATCTAAATCATCACCCTACTCACACACGGAGAACAACCAACATCCATGTGGGGGGCCAAATGACATTGTGAGTCTCTTCTTTAGATGGTAACAGGCAGAGCCAGATGACACAGTGAAGCCAACTAAGTTGGCAGATGAAGAAGACCAGCCCTTGTGATGGTTTGAGCTGTGTTCTCCAAAATTAGTGTCATAAATCCTAACTTCTATGCCAGTGGTTCTAATCCCATTTCGGAACATTGCTGTTAGTGGAAAGGATTAGTGTAGGGTGTATCTTGAGTCAATCACATGCCATCCTCAGGAAGATGGTCCAAGAGTGGAAGCTCAAAGAAGCAAAGCCTTCCTCCAGGGCCAGCAGAGAGAGAAAGCCTTTCCTGGTACTCTGAATTGACACTTCTAGCCTCCTAAACTGTGAAAAAGTACGTTTCTATTTGGCAAAGCATCCACTGTGGTATTTCTGCTGTAGCAGCACTAGAGAACTCAGACAGCCCCCATGAAGCTGACTCTGACCCCTCCTCCCAGCTGGTCCCATCCCACTGGGGCTCCTTTCTGGAGAAAGACTGCTGCTACCATCAGAGGCCTCCTGGCTGCCATAGTGCTTCCCTGAGCCAGTACAATGGCCACTCAGGGGACTGTTGCTGCAGGGATGGGGACGTGAGGTGACTCTAGGCCATGCTGATGATACAGAGAAAATACCAAGTCTGATATACTGCCCAGAGAGGCCAGGTCTCTGCTTCAGCCCAACATAAGAACTGGGGGAAAAGAAACCTGCTGGTACCCTAATCTCATAGAGACCTGTGTGCTCTAGGAATTTATACTTCCAGCTATGCCTTTCTTTCCATAACAACTATACCACTTCTGCCAGTTATGTTGTTGTTATGTGCCATCGAGTCAGCCCCAACTCGTAGCTACCCCTCCTTGGGGTCTGCCCAAGTTTTACCATTTCCCAACTGGGTGGTCTCTTTTGCTCTGATTTCCGCATCTGTAAACTGACTTTGATAGTAATAGTACTTACCTCACAGGGTTTTGTAAATATGATGGAAGTAGATGCATGACATGTCCTTAGAATGCATGAGCCTGGCCAAGGCACTCATAAATATTATTAGCTACTCTTGCAACTGCTGCTCATAGGTGCTTTACATATTACCTCTTCTCTTCACAACTGCCCTGCAGAATATGTATTTTCATTCACATTTTATAGATGAAGAAATGGAGGCCCACAGAGTTGTCATGCTCTTGCTCATGCCTGGAGAGTGGGGAAGCCATGACTCAAACACAGAGAGGTCTGTCGCCAAAGCCCCCACCTCCTCTTGCTAAAGGCTCTTCCCCTCTCTTTTGAGGTGGGAAGCAATCAACTTAGCCTCTCAATTCAAAAATCTGTATGTGTCACAGGTTTACAAGAAGATTATATAAAATCCTTGCAAAGTCCAAAGTGCCCAGAGCACTTTCTGGATACAGAATAACTGGATTGTGCCCTCAAGTGACCAACAAGTTTTCATTTGGTGTGAAATTTGTGTTAAATTAACAATCTAGAACCCTGCATTCAGCACATGCCCTCAAAATACATTGCTTCTTCGTGTTTAAACATTAACACTCGGATGCTCTATGTTTTCAACCAATTCACCCTCTATTTTTTCAAGGCAAAGAAAATAAAAGGCAAAAAGTGTTGCAAAATATTGAGAAATCAGGTTCCACTGTCAGCCTCTCTGTTTAAACTGCCACTGTCACAGGGAATGGTGCACCGGTCCAGTTCCTCCTGTGGCAAGATTGGCCAACATTCTGTCTGGGATACACCTTTGGCACCAACAAGGCACATCTTAAATGGGTCACCATGTACCTGGAAAGGTGTATCTATATCCAGGTACAGTCTCGTGGGCAAATAGAAAGCACCCGGTGGCAGTTTGGTGTGTCTCAAATCACAGCATTTGTGGGACATCAGGAGCTGCACATATGTGAATGTGAAAGGACTGGAATTATGGTAAGGCCACGCTTGGGTCACTGGCCAGGGCCATAACAGGACCATGTGAATTTTAAATGTGTTCAATCAGTCCCAGGGGAATAGTACAGTGTCCAGTTGAAATAGTTGAACATATTTTGAAGGCTCCAAACTCAGTGGGAAGAGTTCCTTGGCTGAGTCTGTGTCCATTCATCAAGGGAGGAGAAAAATGGCCTTAGTACAGAAATACCTCACAACGCAGTCCCACACTTTGTCCACATGGACCTAAAGAGTGGCCACATCTTGTTCGCATGAACTTAGGGGCCTTGATACGGCTGGAGGTCCTCTGAGGCTGCCTCACTATTCATGTACTTCTTTCTGAGCGATCGCAGCTCTGACACTCTCCTAAGACCATCTGGAGGAACTCTTTATAGAAAATGTTTGGAGGAACAAAAGCATCACAGTTGCAGTGCAGTGGGAAAGACCCTGAACTTGAGTTAGGACACCTTGTTGACTTTGTGAAAGGTGCTTCTGTCCTGCTTCCAGTTTTCTCATCTGTAGAATGAAACATCAAAACCAAGCCATTGCCAAGGAGTCAATTCCAGCTCATGGCAAGCCCCTATATATCAGAGTAGAACGTCCTCCACGGGGTTGTCAATGGCTGCTAACTTTCAGAAGCAGGTCACCAGCCCCTTGTTCCAAGGTGCCTCTGAGTGAATTCAAACCATCAACCTTTTGGTTAGTAGCTGAGCACCTACCTTATGAGCTACCCAGGGCTCCCCCTGTAGAAAGATACCAGTCTTTCAACCAAATGAGAAATAGTATGCAAAACATTTTGAAAGCATAAACACTGTATCATTAAAATCTGAGATGTTATCACTACTGCTTGTCTCCTGCCTTGTGAGCTATTACATTCCCCATATGTCTTTTGTGATCTTCAGTTGGTTTTTGTGGCTTGGCTGTTGGTAGATCTGCATCTATGGAGTTCGTGTTGTAACAGCAAGCGCTTAATTGCTGTCTCTGTTAGGGTCAAGATGTCCTGAGCATAAAATAAGAGCAGTTCTGCCCAGTTCAGAACGCAGTCCTAACTCGGAGCTCTGACACAAACTCACCTGTGCCATCTGGTCTGCAGTGTTGCCCCTGGCGCCCAGGTAGACCATGGCCATGGTGGATGAGATACTCCACGGAGAGAACAAGAGATTCTGGCTGGGGCTTATTTCCACAAGATACTTGAAGAGATTGAGGGCAAAGATGGTGTTGGCCACATAAAGGTCCTGCATTGTTCTGTTCTAGAAAGGAATTGGGAAAGAAAAAAACAGCTCTAAAAGACAACTCAACAGTCAGAGTGAGGGCAGCAGAGTAGCGCAAGGTGCCCCTGCCTAAGGGGGGTCCCCTTTGTTCTTCCTGCATTTGACAACATGAGGAATACCAGGGCTGGCTTCATGGGCCTGCAACCTGCGAGGTCACAAAGGGCCCCACGCCATTATACTCTGCTGTCACCATCCTGACATTCTTCATAATTATTAAATAAGAAACAAACAAATGAACCCAAACCCATTGCTGTCTAGTCAAATCTGACTCATAGTGACCCTGTAGGACAGAGAAGAACTGCCCCCAGAGGTTTTCCAAGACTGTAATCTTTATAGAATCAGACTGCCTCATCTTTCTCCCAGGTAGCAGCCGGTGGATTTGAACCGCCAACCTCTCAGTTAGCAATCCAGTACTTTAACTACTCTACCACCAGGTCTCACCTATTAAACAAGAGCCCCTAAAAATTACATAGCAGATTTTGGGGTACCGTGAAATTTATAGGATGAGTAGTGACACTTTATGGCACTCCTTATAATAATGATGATAATGACTGCAATAACAATAAGTACCAGTTACAAAGTTCTTCCTGGGTGACAGACACTGTTCTAAAGATGTTACCTTTTCTGACCATAGATCCCTGATAGAAACCCTATGAGGTAGGAGCTGCTATTCCTGCTTTACAAGGGAAGAAACTGCTGTAGAAATAAGGTAAGAAAATTGACCAATGTCCCTCCACTGTGAGTAGTAGAGCAGGACTTATTTTTTCTACTGTGTAGTCGGACTTCTCATGCTCTCAACAGTAGGGTCCCACTCTCCGTCTCTGTGCTGCACCCACAAACACACCACACACACCATACACACTCACTTATTCACATGCATGTCACATGCATACATATCTTCTTGGCCACAATCTTCTATCAAGGCCACTAATTCTTGAAATGACTTAGGCCTATTGTCTGAGGCTTGGTACATTCACCTAGACCCTACTCACTAGCTAAAAAAGGTGTTTCTGTATGGGAGAGTTTTGTGCTTCGGCATTCATTGTTGGGAGTGCAGGGGCAGCCCTGTTTCCCACATATCACCCACCCCCTGAGGGGACAGGGGACATCAGTGCCAGGCAGCACTGCAGGGACCATCCAGGCATATGAAACATACATCTTCAGCTTATCAGCCATCTGAACACAGAGAGACATGCCTTTTGTTTCTGGCTTTGCGTTATTCTTTCATCATTGCTTAAAACATACCCTGTAATTACCAAAACAGATAAGTATAAGGAACGATGCTGACACTCAAGGTTCTGTGGGAAAATCTTTGTGACAGTGCCTTCCCAGAACTGGGGAGGGGCTAGCAGTCCCCAGGACCAAGGCGTGCCCTGTGACTGTTGTCTTGCTGTCTCCAGTTGTGGTCTACTCCCTAATCCATGGGTGTCTCATGTGAACACTTGACCTGTGAACTCTTCTTTTTCAGGAAATTACTTCAACCTTGTATCAAAACTTCTCATTCGAAATACACCCAATGGTATTTTATCAAGAAAAAAAAAATCAATTAAGTGAAACTTGTCTCTGAAACGCTTAGCTCCTCTTATCTCCTTAATCTTCCCAGGATTCATACAAGATAGGTATCTTTATCTCCATTTTATAGATTACTCCCTGAGGCTCAGAGTGGTTAAGTAGCATGCATAAGGTCACACAGCTCCTATCTAATTATGCAGGGATTCAAACCCAGGTATGCCTGAGGAAACCCACTCTTTCCAGTGCCCCACACTGCCTGCTGATACTAGCATGTGTAAGAGTTTCAGCATGTCAGCAGCTTGAGAAATGTTAAAAAGAGGAAATCAAAAGAGGAAAGTGGCAAGCCTGAAAGATTTATTAAGTAAAAAGAAAAAGTCACTCTTGTTTTTCTCTTGCTTCATCTCAGAGGCTAAATTAACTTGGACGGCTCAGAGCTTTGTTTCATCTGCTTTCTGCCAGTTCAACATTCTCTTTACAATTAATTAGCCTGATTGTCTAAGTCTTTATTGAGAAATTGTCTCAATACTCTTTTTGGAAACAAAGTATTAATAACATAAATAATATTCCTGTGTTATCATGGGAGAAAATAAATAAGAAACTAGAACCACAAAAATACATTAGGCTTCTCCTGTACCCAGCTCTCTGTAATAACCTGCACAAATACTCATTCATTTTGACACAAACACAATTTAAGTATCAAGGCAAACTTTCAGAGGGCTTTTAATGCCAAGTTAGGATTTCAAGTGACTTTAATGCAGGAGAACAAAAGTTAATCACAACAGAACCAGACTGCCTCAGATGCATTTAGTTCTCTCTCTCAAAAAAAAAAAAAAAAAAAAAAAAAGCATAAATTTTATATTTTAAAATAAAGTACAATTATTTGCATTTCACATTTTAAAAAAATAGCATCTGATGTTTTGTATTGCAGTTACCAAATTCCTTCAGCTACATTTTTTTTGTTTACTTTGTATATTTATTTGCCAAGTAAAGCTTAGTAGTTCCTGTGACACCAATGATAATATGAAGATGTGAGTTGCCCAGCTAGTTGATTTCAGAGTCTAGACTAGAACCCAGCCTTGTGATTCCAAGTCTAGTGCTTTTCCTAGGAATCTTTCAGAGAAGGTTTGAGCAGTGCGGAGTCTTAGAAATCGATGAAGGAACAAGTATACGGTGTGTCCTGATTCTCAGACCACATGGGTTGTGTGTTGGGATTGTCTGACCCCGATGAGAACCTGCCTCACACAACATAAAATTGAAGCCATGGAGTGATGTCAATACCATCATCTCCCAGAACAGGTAAGACCTGTTGAGAAATTTTTAATACAGTAATAAATTAAATAACTTCATTGACTTTAAAATACTGTGTTCCTCATTAGTGTTTAATAGTATCGTTGGGAAGAATGGATGGAAACCATGTTTGCAGGCTGTTGTTTGTGCTGGTTCCTGCAACACGAGTCTGTAAGTGTGTCACTGAAACTTGACCTGGCTGACGACAAGCTCCAAGCGTGGCCAAGTACCCTGCTACCATTGTTGCCTTTCTCTGTGGCCTGGTTGTTAGATTTGAGTTTGACGTAACAGCTAAAACTTCTGTGTGTATGACTACACAATGCAAATACTGTGAAAGTGACTAGAACAAACATTGAGAACTACAAAAAAAAAT